GAATAGCACAACACTTTAGTCTGGGGGATGCTTCTAAAATCAGAGACGAGAGCTGGGTTTTTGCGTTAACAGTGCTGCTGGAAATCGGGAGTTGGTCTGGGGGAGTACGTGGCGAGGAGGAAGGCTGAAGGGAGCGTGGGAAGGCAGAGCTGCTGCCCTGCACTGGATGCGTCCCGAGACATCAGGTCTGCCATGATAGTGCAGTGGGTGAGCCGAGCGAGGTGGCGCAGTTCTCCAGCCCCAGCCTGGTACTTCAGCATTGAAGAGACGTGTGACTAGTCCCTGTTTCTGGAGGGATCGTTCTGAATTGAGCCATCTTACGGAGACTGAAAGGTCTTGCCCTTCTTACCATTGAAAACTGTTGCGTTAACTCATGAAGCGTATAGTTATTACACGTCACCTTTCTACATTCCATAAGAGCTTTATTTCTCTCTCTCCTGAGCCGTAACAAAGCCTCTTTAAAATTGGTGTGCCCTTGTGAAGCAGTTGTTTCTCATATTGAGATGTACTGTGAGTTACTGAGGTTTGATCACAAGAAAGGAGGTTTTTCTTGTGCCATTAAATGTGCGAGTTTGTACATCGTGAAATGCTTGGGGCAGTACAGATCCACTGCGACAAAACCAGATCCAACAGGTAATACCTCGCAAGAACCGTGCGAGACTTCTTTCAACCCACGTGCTGTCGTGATATGAGAAAAACTAAAACCAGATGAAACGAGCGTTTCAAAGAAAAAGACTGTCTTTGCTGCAGAAAATATCAATAATGTGACCTGTCTTATGCAATTTTTGTATTATTGAAAACACTATGATATATACCAATGTCGTGCAGTATAAGGAAAAATACTGCTATTCTACTAGTTAAGAGCTGGAACAATTCTGTACACGTGTATCTGGTAAAAATTGCATGCTACAACACTGGAGATCTTTTTTTCCCCCCCTGTAAAATTTGAGAACGGTCATTTTTATTTTTCCTTCTCCACAAAAGACGTTCCACTGCTGACATGGTAGGAAGAAATGTAACTCATAACTTGCACTAAATGTATATTATTTTTCTTGAAGTTTTACCATTCTTTATTTATATTTGTATGGATTAAAAAATTATTAAATATGAATCAGTTAATATCTCACATAACTAATTACCTTTTTAATGTGATTTTATAGAATAATTCATATAATCCTCTGCAAGTCATGGAGGATTAGCAAATGTTTACAACTAGATGAAGGGTTTAAACAAAATGGTTTCTTTATGATCCAACATGCATTTTCAAATGTAACTTTCACTGCCGTTACCTTGAGATTTCCCTTTTCCTCTACTAGCAGATAACTGGAACAGTAATATAAAAATTTTGTTTAAAAAAACTGCAGGGTTTTGAAAATAATAGCAAGAAAGCAACTATAATTATTAGATAGCTTTTGAATCTTTTCTCGTTTTTTTTGTTTTGGTTTGGTTTTTTAAGTATATAGAGGTGTAAATTATATGTAGCCACAGAAGATGAGCAGCAGGGCAGAATGGAATCCGGTACTTGAAACTTCGGCAGGACTTTAAAATTCAGCAGCAACACAGACGCTAGCAGCCGAACGGACAGATCCCGAACTTCCTTACCTTTTTCTTTCCAGTCACTAGATTAATTTGTTTCGTATTTGTTTTATCAAACCACCACCGCAAACACGTGCAGAGGAAAAAAGGCAATATGCTATAAGCCTGAAGTTCGGAGGAAAAAAATTAAGAAATCATGCTTTATAATATGGGGTTAGATAAAATCTCCTTCTTTTAAGAATTATGCCAACAAGACTGCAAAAATATAAATGGGAAAAGTCTAAAATAATCATCCTGGGTATCTCTGAGGCATTCATCACAGATACCTCAAATGTCTTTATTTGCAAAGTACTCAGTATGATTTTATCTTAAGTACAACAACCTACTGAAACAAAAGTCTGGTACTTTTGCAAAGCTCCAAAATAATGCCTGTGCTTAAGTGCTCTGCTGAATTTTTACTGATTTTTCTGAGTATAAAACTGCCCCTTCCACCTCGACATCTCATCTCTGGCAGCAACTGGAACCAGTAGAAAGCGAAAGGTGCCAGTGGGCTCATGGCGATCAGCCCCTGTATTAACAACGGGTTTGGAACTGAAACAGGGAATCCGGCTGTGTTAAAAGGGGAGCGTTGCGGCAAGCGGCTGCGTTCTTCCACCCGCAGTCAGTGCTAGCGGGTCAGAATTTGTTCTGTTCCATTGTGTAACTCCAAAGAAACTTTACAGAAGGAACTTCACCAAGAGCAGGATTTGGCCCACTGGTAGAAGGCAGCTCTGGCAGCTGTCTGTGATGCTCGTTTCCCTTGTCTCACTTTTTTTCTACAGTGGAAGAACACAAACGCATTACACATACAAAAATTGCTTTACATCAGCTTGAAACCTCTGCCATTTCTGATGGTCTCATAAAACACTGCTGTGTTTACTGTATTAACTTGCACCTAATTCTACAGACCGTACTGTCTGAATTAAAATACAGTTCACACCCCTGCTGCGGTTTATAATTTCGGTATGGATCCCAAGTGCTGCATATAAATTGTGCATCTCTGTTTGCTCTTCTTACCTGCTAAGCTTTCCCTGTTGACATTTAAAATGTCTTCTGCTAAACATACGGTAAGAGGTTCTGATAACGAAGTACGTGTGCCTGTGCTGTGCAACAACAATTTTCTAACATAAAATTTCCAACGCCTTACTCAAGTTACTAATTTGAAAAAAAATGTGGTGGATGGGAGGGGGAAAGTGTCAGCGTTTGGGTTTTTTTTTTCTTTTTTTTTTTAAAAAAAAACCATTCAGTTACTGGTTCATGAAGAATGCATTCTTTGTTAATCTGTGATGTTGCCTAGAACTGTATTTAATATTGATCTTAATGTTTTTATTTATACTAGTGTGGTAGAGCTGCGTATCATTACAGTAAAAATTCTGATTACTGTGATGATTTAATCAAACATTAAAAACTTCTGTATGACCATTTGTTGTTCTGTCATGTCTTCTCACTTTTTTCACAAACAGTATTTGTGTCGATTTTTGTATTTATTTTCCCTGAGAGAAAATGAACAGCTAGGAATTTTACATACAAAACCAGTAAGCAGATAACAAAAGGAGGAATTTCAGGAGGAGATGGAATCTGTGTATTGCCTAGCATTTGGCTACAAGTCAGCAGCCAAATCAACCCAATCAAACAAACAGATCAGTATTACGTATTTTGTTCCAAAGTAGAAATTTTAAAAATTGTTTTAATGATATAATTATAGAATAGTTGGCTTCCTGATTTAAAAGGAGATGATGCCTTTAGTGTCTAAAAGCCAGGATTACGTAGTTTCTACACAGAACATTTTTAGTACCTCTGGTATGAAAAAAATTGTTAGGCAGCTGTTGATGATGTGTATTAATGATGTACAGCACTTCAGTCTTTTTTTCAGGTGATGGCACAGTTTTCCTTCTCTGTTAGAGGGTAATAGATAAGACTGGAACATCCATAGTACGGTCCCCATTTTTGCAGATTAATTAAGTTCATATTTAAACAAGGAGAAAGGTGAATACTTTGTTGTTACCTCTACGATTTATGGGACATTAAATAAGAAGGTATCTTCTATTTAGAACGTAAAAAAGTAAGGGGGAATGAGACTGAATTTTCAAGAAAGTACCTCTTTTTTATGTATAAAATACAAAATTCTGGTCCTGTGAAAGAGTTTCTGTACGCTTGTGCTTATGTTTGATTAAAGCTGATTTATATGCTGATTGAAAGGGGTGGGGTTGTCAAATTTGCAAAAGGAGACGCGGCATGCAGTTCTGCGAACCAAAAGTACCTTGCCTTAAGAACTCAAGATGCACTTTTGAAAGACTCTGACTTACACTGTGAATTATTTATTAGTTTATGCTGGAAGGGACCTTCGGAAGTGTAATTGTCTGCTAAAACGCAGGTAGGACTTTGAGATTTGAGCACGTTGCTAGTGGTCTATAATCTTCCTTAGCAGGACTGTCATCATTAGTAATGACGTGAACTGCTACAATAGAAGTCAAGTCGCTGTACGACGGCAGGCCTGGCGAGTAAGAGCAAATGTTATTTTCCATTGGTTTCTGGACTGTTACTTCAAGCAGTTGCCTGAAAATAAAGCTCTAAGGGTAATAACAAAATAGAACAGCAGAGCAATGAACTGGAAAACAATTTGCATCTTGTGCAAAATCACTTCATTTCTATTTTTAGAAGTCCAGATTAGTGAAAATGGGGTGACTTCATCTGACTAATAAGGTAGCAAATGCAGTGGAATTCCTTATTTATCTTGCAATGTCAGTTAGCTGGGTTTTAATCCTATTTGTTTCCCGTTGATTCAGCCAGATCCAGAAGATCGAGACCAGAGGCAGTGCTTTGTTATAATGCAAAAGGGCAAGCTGCTGTAACTTAATTTTTTACCTATGTGGCGGGACAGAATTGAGGAAACGGACAATGCCAGTGAAAATCACCAAGAGCAAAGAAATGGAGTTCGGTAGGTGTAAATAAGCAGCTGGGTGCGACCGAGGTACACCAAGTCAGTCCACGACTGAATCGCTCCCCCGATACCTACAGCTTCTCTGAGAAACGTAAAATGGTAACGCGCCCTCGTTGCGCCTCCTGACAGCAAGCAGGCGGCGGCACTACCTGCTCTCGGTTCAGCTTCAGGCTGAGAAACGGAGACGAGTACAGAAGGCAGAGTAACCCCAGCACCGGGCTGCCGCTCGTCCTGTGCGGAAGCCCGCGAGTACCGGCAGCAG